CAATCTCACAACAGCTCCCCGAGTATTCACCAAATGCCTGTATTCACCCTGTGGCAGTTTACTTCACATTTCACAAAATCCACATCTCCGTTTACATCCACGCTCCCATCACAAACCACGAGGCATTCGCTTCACTTTGTGTCTTCTCCAGGATCTCGCCTTTGCAGTAAATCTACACAATTCTCCACCAGCTGTCATCCAACATTTATCACCTGTCCCATCTACCTCACCTCATGCAGAGGTCGGTTGGTTGGATTCAGAGGAATTAGAGAGGGGCTCATGTGTAATGTTTTTATGAATAATACCCCCCAAAATGCACTTGAAGTGGGAGTCCCATACCTCTGGCGTGATGGAATTGACAATCTCAAAGGCTTTCTGTAAGAAGTCTCTTTCTACCTGCTTCCAGAATTTGGGGTCATTACCCTCAATGAGGGCCTGGCCCAAAGATTTCCAGTTATCTGAGTAAAGCCTTCTTTTTCCCTCTAAGTAAAGATTTATATTCTCTCCGTAGATGTTGCAGGAAAGCTGTAGCTTCATAGGTGCCAATGTTTCACCTGTCTTGTTGCTCTGCTCAGCTCTTTTTTCTTGGTCTTACATTCCCTGTCGAACCAGAACCGTTAAGCTTCAGACGTTCTTTCAGGGTATGTAATGCTTAGGTGTGGTCTAAGTACAATAATTATATCCTGGTAGACCTTCCAAATGTTCTGGGTCCACAGAAGAGCATGCTGTCGTAGCTCTTTGAGTTTATTGGTGTTCAACATCTGCCTTATACTGTCATCAGTTTTAATAGACCATTTAAGCCTTTTCTCACCTAAAATGTGGCCCAGCATTTTGTGGTCTGTTAATACCCCTGATTGATTTTGCCAGAATCTTAAAGACACTCTAAGGGGAAAATGGTCACTTTCTGGCCTGTCATCGAGTGCTAGGGAGTGTACATAAGGGAGAATGGCAGAAGATCCTATAACATAGTCTACCACGCTAGCATCCTTATCTGTTAGAAAAGTGTAGTAGCCATTTGAGGTGTCCATGTGAGATCCATTTAGGCATACAAGAGGGAATTTGTAAATCAATTGAAAGAGGAATTTGCCATAGTTTTTGATTACCTTGTCTTGGGAGGTTCGGGAGGAGCTTTTATCCTCTTCAAGCTCCAAGCCAAGGGCTTTTTTCATCATACAAACACTGTTTCCTATTCTAGCATTAAAATCACCACAAATTATTAAAAAATAGTTGGGATATTCAGAAAATAATATATCAAGAAGGTCCTCCAATTTAGCCCAAGCCTCTGAAGCAGTACCAGTTTTTCTCAGTGAGAGATAGATGTTGACACAAATCAAAGGACCTGGTTTGCAGCCATGTGTTGTTAGAACTTGCCAGTAGCTAGAGTTTAATTCAGCTATCTCTGTTCCCTTCAAGCCAGTAGTGGAGGAAATTAAAATAGCCAGGTCCCCACTTCCTCGGCCTGAAGTTTAATTTTTTGAGCTGGGAATTCCCACTTCCTATATCCCTGTAAACTTAAAGAGTCTTTCTCCAGAAGCCAAGTCTCTTGCAGGCAAATTATGTCAAATGACTGAAGGTACTGTATGAAATCTGAGCCAACCAATTTATTCTTCCATCCTGCAATATTCCAAGATAGAAAATTCAGAGGCTGACTTTGTATCTTATCTGATGTTAGTCAGTCTTGATAGAGGGCTGCTAGAGGGGCATATCTGTTGTCCAAGTGCCATTTAGAGTTAGACCTATTGGATGTTCTGCAGTGACTCGGTAGGTGGCTCTTCCCCTTGGGGGGTTGATAAATTCTGTGACTGCTCGAAGACTTGTTGACACCCATCTTTGGAGCCTCTCTTATTTGTGTTCTCTGGTTGTTACATATGTTTATGAAACCACGGGGTTGATTAATCAAGATATTATTGGGGGCAGATACAAAAGGTGGGCATACTTCTTTGCCTCTATAGTTTAAGTTAGGATCAGGGGGTGCAACACCAGCATGGTTGGGGGCATTTCCCCCGCACCTGGACTACATATAATAAGAAGAGAGCTCAACAGTTCTATCTGATTTTCCACGTGGTATTGGAATCCTTTTTAAATTTACATGTGTCCAAATTCATCAGCCATTACCCTCCTATCAAAAGTACCCAAGTGATTCGTGGCATATGACTGTCTGTTTGTTTTAAATGGTCTTTGTAAGTTTCGTTTTACAGTTGACCTGAAATTATGGTGTGTTATACAGTGGTGCATCGACTTACAAACTTAATCCATTCCAGAAGATGGTCCTAACTTGAATTGGTCATAAATCGAAGCACCATTTCCCATAGGAATGCATTGTAACCCCATTAATCCATTCCGGCCGGGGGGGGGGGAAATCACCCAAAAAAACCCAATGCAAGCCCCATTGGAACATGTTGCCCCCCCAAAAAAATCACCAAACCCCACAACACCACAACAAGCCCCATCGGAACACGCTGGGGCTGAGGGGGGGGGGAAAATGCCAAAAAAGAAGCAAACAGAACAAGCCCCATTGGAACGCACTGGGGCCAGGAAAAAAACACACCAAAAAAATAAAAAACATCACAGCACAGAAACATAACCCCCCCCCAGCTCAAACCCATCCTGCAAAACCCTGTACTCACTCAGAACAGGCATTTTAAGAAGCAGAAAGCAGCACCAGACAGTCCGAAGCCTCCTCCGATGCACTCTCTCTAACTGTTGGGATGAAAGAGTTACAAAGAAACAGCCTCTTCACTGACCAACAGTTAGCAATTTAAATTCCCTGCCTTTCCCCCCACCTTTTTTCTGATTGTAACTCAAAGCTCCGGTCGCAAATCGAAGCAAAATTTTGCGGCCGGAGCTGGTCGTAACTCGATTTGGTCGTAAGTCTGGACCTTCGTATGTCGAGGCACCACTGTATGTGTTCCCCATTTGAATGATACTGATACATCTTCAAGCTTATATATTAAGCTCCAAAAATATTAAGCATATCCATTTTCTTTAAACGACAGATGCACCTTCCCCCTCCCCATTTCAGATGTTATAGGATATATAACATTAAAGGATCCCAGTCTTTACCCAGAATGTCCAAAATATCCTGTTTACATCAGTGTTAGTTTTCCATGTATTATTTGACCTTATTAAAGACCAGTTGTATGTGGTAATATGACTCACAGTGTTGGATGATGAGACTGTAGACTGTGGTTTCTCTATTCTGGAGTCTACTTTCATAAGAAATTGTAGGTAGGCATTGTCCGGCAGTATGTTGTTCCTATCTGTCCATAAGAAATTGTAGGTAGGCATTGTCTGGCAGTATGTTGTTCCTATCTGTAGGAGCTATAAAAGAGGACCGTGGGCCATTTGTGTCTTGGAAAATATCTTGCCATTCATCAGTTACTATGAAGTCTACATTTGAAAGGGTTAAGTTCAGGCCCTCGGCATCTTTTCTTGAGTTACAATTATCGGCCTGAGTTTCTGGAACCTTTTCAGAATTTGAGGCCAACTCTATGTCCTCTATGTATAAGATGCTGTTCTTTTCGAGGTAGGCAGGGATTGTTCTGGTTTGTTTCTAATCTGTGACTCTCGCTTCCTGGTTGGTGAAAGTTTGGGTCTGGGTTAGGAAATGTTCAGGGGGGTGCTGCTGTCAAAAACCCTGTTTTTATCAGGGTGGCTATGAGTTGGAGTGTTGCTTCCAGGTCGAATATTTCTTGATGTAGTGCATGTAGTTTATCAAAGATGCTTTGGATTGATTTGCAGATAGGAAGCAGTGGTCACATAATTTAATGTAGATAATTTTGATGTCTTCATTATCAACCCCATAAGATTTGTCTGTTCTTCTATGACTCTATTCTTTGGTTTTAAGGTAATTAATGGTTTTAATGGTTTTAAGGTGATTACCTGCTTTATTTGGTTTTATATGCTACAGTAGAGACAATATTGTAAAGGTCTATGGCCAGAAACAATAAAGTTTATATGTATTCTATTCTTTGGATTGGTGTTCGGTAAGTTTGGATTTTTGTCAGGCAAGTCCATTGATAAAATTGATGACCTTTCTTCTAATCCTGGATCCACTGACCAATTGCCAATCAAGTAGCCAGAAAGGTCTTCAGCCACATCATTTCTTTGGGAATCTCTGATGATCACATTCAAATCTTCATTGTCTAAGATAGATGAAGTACTTGACAAATTCCCTAGAAAACCTTTTCCCAGCAGAACCGGAAAAGTCCTGTTGACTAATGGAGGTTAAATGCATGCAGAAATCTACTATACCCCTCTGACTTTTACTTCCGGGAGCATTGTTAGTCCCAGCACGAGTTTTCTGGCCTCTAGTAATGACCATTGGTAGTGTTTATATGTGCTGTTGAATCACACCTGCAACCAGGAGAGTTAGAGCCTTCTGCAAATCCTAGTGCAGATCCTAGTGTGGTTTCTTTATTTATTTATTACCTTGCATTCTGTGATATCTCCTTATCAGACAGCTCAGGCAACTCCAGACATTTGATTTCTAAATATCTTCTAAATAACTCACAGTATTATGACGTGGTTCTTGTATGGCCTTGAATTTTCCTCGAAACCATCTCAGTCCTTTTCAAACATTGTCTTACTGGAAAACTTCCCCAGGGAACTCCAATGCTTCTTGCTCTCTTTGGTTCCAGCCACCACTGGGAAGCAAAGTTCTTTTAATGAATCAACTTGAGCAGTTGAATACTTTGTAAATATTTAAAAATAAAGATTAAAAAGCTTGACAACAAACACTGTTCCTCCCTCAGACTGAAACTGGAAGCTCCTCTTATTCAGTATAAGTATTAATGAATTATTGCCAATTTAAACATCCTTGCATAAGCAGCTATCCACAATAAGTATATTCAGCATAGTATAATTACATTATCTCATGCTCCGGTTTGATTTATCTTTGTCATGTCATCTTGGAGAATACATTTATTCCAAAGTATAAGCTTTAATCTTAGTCTGTTTACAAGAACATAAGAGTAATGTTTCTATCATTTCTATTCTAGGATCTTCTAGAAAGAGAGAGGGAGGATCTGGTTATGTGACCACAGCACTGGGGAACACTTGGAGTCATAGTGTAAATACAAGACTCATTTTGCAATATCTGGATTCAGGGACAAGACAGGTAAGGAACCAGGGGAGTTATTCCTACAGTCATGTGTCCTTGATTCTGCTTCAGGCCTGATTCTGCTCAAATCTCAGTACAGTATTTTTAATTTACATTCCCATAATTTTAGTAGATGCAAGTGGGATCTCTGTGGGAAGAAGAAGAAGGAATGGGGGGGAAGGGTCATTCTTTGCTCTGCTTTCCCTTCCCTCAGTGAGTCCATCACTATGTGGGTTGTCCTCAGAAACCAGTTCCTCCTCATTCTCACAAATACTATGTCAGGAAAAAGAGGATCTGGCGTACATTCGGGGGTAAAAAAATAACTGCAGGAAGGAACTAAGAACCAGCATAGATGAAGGGAAACCATACTATTGCTGGGTTTCTGCCATTTTCCTTAATCCCTTGAATTAGAATTGGAGACTGGCAGTTGGGCTCTATGAGCAAAATCTCATGCCAGTGAACATTTTGACTGCAAATGACTCCCTCAGCCTGTCTTTGTTCCCTAGTGATGGCTTCCATGTCATAGTAGATGAGAGCTATCACTTACATAATTTTCTCTGTAACGTGGGCTAATGGAGCATGGTGCCTTCATGCACATCTCTTGGTTAAGAGGATGTGGAGGTCATGGTTATCACACCATTTTTTCTCTCTCTGTCATTGGTAGAGACTCCCTCTTGTCCACATTCCTTGTGTGGTCTTTCAGATATTATATGCAGATACTTTTTTCACAAGAAAATGGGATATACATGTAATGGCTGACAAACAGGAAAGGTAACAGGTACATCTATGTCTGGGAAAGAAATGGATTTTTTTAAAAAAAAGAAATAGTTTCAAATTATTTTTCTATTGTAATGCTTTTATGCAACTGAAGCATTCATAAAGTTAGATTCTTCTATATCCAGTACGTCACTATGGCAAGTGCTATTTTAGCTTCTTAGGATGTAGTTTCTTTTTAGCCTCTTAGGATTTAGACTATTAATTTGTAACTCCTAGAACTATATCCAGTGTTGTGCAAGATGATTTCCACTTGCACAGCAGTTCATACCCAAACTTGGCAGCCTCTCGTGTACCTGCAGAATCTGCAGAATCCATCAAAACAGATTTGAAAGGGGCAAGTAAAAAAGGAGTCTTTTCAAATATAAGATTCCATTCTGTCAACAACATGATCCAAATGGATTTCACTCTTTTCTTCATTGTGATAGTTAGGTAAAAGTAAAGGTTCCCCTTGACAATTTTTGTCCAGTCGTGTTTGCCTCTAGGGGGCGGTGCTCCTCCCCGTTTCCAAGCCATAGAGCTAGCGTTTGTCCGAAGACCATCTTCCGTGGTCACATGGCCAGTGCGACTTAGACACGGAACGCTGTTACCTTCCCACTGAGGTGGTCCCTATTTATCTACTTGCATTTGCATGCTTTCAAATCGCTAGGTTGGCGGGAGCTGGGACAAGCGACGGGCACTCACTCCGTCGCGTGGATTCGATCTTACGACTGCTTGATCTTCTGACCCTGCAGCACAGGCTTCTGCGGTTTAGCCCACAGCGCCACCACGTCCCTTCATTATGATAGTTAGAGACATAAATATTTAGCAGGTCCAACATTTTTTGTTTTCCTCCTCTGTAATTTTATATAAAGTGCCCACTTTACATTTTAAGAAATAAATGTTTATCTTTCTGTAGCTATTTGTGAATAGGGTTTTGTCATCCGCATCTGCCAACACAGCTTTCCTTTCCTTCCCGTAATAAACATCTCTCAGGAATTAAAATACACCCACCAATGTGAAAGACAGATCTCACACAGTCAAATGGTGTATTTGAAAATATTTCACTGGATGATTGGGAGTTTGTGGGGGAAGCTATTTTTTGGAAAGAGCTATAAGGTGACAGGAACGTGGTGGCGCTGCAGGTTAAACCGCAGAAGCCTCTATGCTGCAAGGTCAGAAGACCAGCAGTCGTAAGATCGAATCCACGCAACGGAGTGAGCTCCCGTCGCTTGTCCCA